ATCGTACACAAAATATAGAAAACAGGAATTCACAAATTGGAGCTGAAGACGTGATAACGAAAAAAAGATGGTGCCATAATGGAAATAATATAAGGGATAACATTGTTGATAGAACATTTAGACAGACATACTTTATACAAAACAAATAAGATTTAGGTTTTGGAATGAGCACTTAAATTGTAGAAATACGATAGGAATTCTTTAAACGTGTAAATCATGATGAAATTGTCCGTGTCAAAAATATTGGACGCTGAGCATTTATGCTGAGTGACTACCAACCCTTGTATTTTGATTATTTCAAATTTAACGAAAGAAGAATACGTTCATCGCTATAAGGAAGAAGATAAACACTGTTTTTATGGAAGAAATTAACAGGAGGCTGTAACTTAGTAGAAGATATTATAACTGAAATCATTTTAGTGGGAGAGGATGATTTGACATCATGGAGACTCACGGTGAGTCAGGCTCTGGCTTCGTTAGTCCAAAGGAAGAAGTCCAGCTCTTCGAAAACTGCTAGGTTCGGTACTAGAAAAAACAACTTATAGGTTGAGCAACAGACTCAGATTTAGCAGAGGGTCATTTGAACTAAGTTCCAGAGCATAAGAAGCAAAGTGGTACGCCACCTGTGAATCGGTTGTTGGACATGCGTGGTTGTACTGCCCACCTACCGCCATTTTATTATTTCTAAAACCATGTGTTAGGAGATTTAATTAACATGGGGATGAATTCTGAAAGAAACTTCTTAATGTACTGTACTGTTTATCAATAGTGTAGAACAAACAAATGATAAACAAAAAGAGAAAACTTTTCTTCTTCACCCCAACGCTTCCCCATTCCCAGTATTGGTCAGGAGGAGAGGAGTCCTAGGTAGCAAAAAGATATGATCTAATATTAGAAAGATGCGATATAATACTGCCGTGCTAGAAAACGCAATACTCTTGAATCCTATCTTCTAATATTAGAATTAATATTATATAAAATTAAATAGTTTTCGATCTAACATTCGAACTTTCAAAATTATAATCGATTTCATTATTTTTGGTCCAGCGCCGCATTTTTGCGAAAGGTTATCCCATATTATTAATAAATAAACCTTTATTTATGAAAGAAAACGATAAATTAAATATTATTTAAAATACTAGAGGGCTCCACCCCCTGCTCGCTGACGCTCGCCAACCCCCGGAGAATTGCTTAGCAATTCTTGCTTGGTTTGCTTCGCAAAACCAAGAATGCTTTGATTTCATGTATTTCAATATTAAACTGAATATTAAATGTTATCATCGAAAAGAATTAATTTTCTTAAATGCAGAATAAGCAGTGTGTCAATATCAATGTCACTTTTTTTCGTTGACTACAGTTCCTTCTATGTCCTATTTGTTCTCTAAATGAGCCAAAATTGTCAGAAATTAACATCAATGTGCAGATATAATCTTAATATGAAACTTGTTTAAAAAAAATGATAATCACAATAATACAGACTTTGTCCCAAAGAAATGAATATATTTTTAACACATTTAATTCAATATATATATATATATATATATAT